TGTTTAATTACATTGAATAAATTAATGTTTTTATTGACCATAGTAGAACATTTCATATCCCACAATACTCTAATTTACTCGTATATATTCAGATTATGATGTCAGGTTTTGAAGGTTTTGAAGGTATTTGAAAATAAAAATAAAAATCTGTTTTCATATAAAAATATTTTTAATGAATTGAGGCCAGGGATTTTTCATATCAAAGATAAACTTTAAAAGCCTTTTGTAAATTGTTTCTTTATATATTTTACACATTTTAATCTGTTTTTCACAATGAAGCACCATGAAACAAATAATAAAAATGTTTTTGACACTGAACATGGAATACATGTAGACGTGTAGTCTTACTCAATATATCAGGGAATAATTGGTGTAAATATTAAAAATTTAATGTAACTATTTGTTTGAATAGTTTTGGGTAATTTTTTAATTGTACTAAACTAAAACAATAAAATAACCTTTTCCATGTAAAATAAAACAAATTTGAACTAAAATAAATTACAATTAAAATATGTTTGACAATATTTAAAGTCCTCTATATGGATTTTTTATAATACATTTTTCTTTAAAAAAACATTTGTAATTTTTTCTACTTTTCATATTTTGATACATTTGAACCTGTTTCTCTCCATGAAGCACTATGAATAAAAAAATTGGGTTCATGTTTAACAAAACATAAAAATGCTTTGTGTTCTTTTTTTTCTTTTTTGAAATTCAATTCAAGTTTATTTGTATAGCGCTTTTCACAATACACATCGATGCAAAGCAACTTTACAGAAAATAAATTTTCTACAATATACTGTAAGTAGTATAAGTAGTTAAGTAGTAGCTTGTCAGTGGTGACTATATCTAATTGATGTACATATGGCAGAAACATTTAGACGTACTATCACTCAATATATCAGGCTGGTGTAAATAGTTCAAATTAATGTGTAATTATTTGTTTTATTACTTTTGTGTAGTTTTTGAATTGTAATCAGGGTTATTATAGTAAACTAAAATGAAAACCATAAAAAAAATTGTTTTGAGGTTAATTAAAAATGTAGTATCCCAATTATTTTTAGAAAATAATATAAAATAAAACTGATTATAATTGAGTAAATTCCTGTTTGCTGCTTTTGAATTGAAAAAGGCCAAATTCTGGATTTTGCTGAACTCTGATTGTCCTGTATAATGACAATTCGATAAACAGCACTGTGAATATTTCTGAGACACACACACACACACAGAGAGAGAGAGAGAGAGAGAGAGAGAGAGAGAGGACAAACTGGGAAACAAAGAAGCAGATGTCAAAGAGGTGAGAGAGAGAGAGGTGTATATAAAGATGGATGTTGAGAGCTCAGCAAATACAGAAAGAGACTGGAATGAAAGCGAGAGGAAAATACGATTATTAAGGCTAATAAAGAGAATCATGCGTGATGGAGAAAGCAGAGGGAGACGGACTGCAAACTTTAGCCATAGTGCTGCTGCTGTGTGGAGCTCTGAAACTCCTGCACACGCTCGGACTCATCAGCACCGAGGGTGAGACTCACACAACTACTAAACTAAAGAGTCTGGTTTGAGATGGTTTATGAGAGCTCTGTGGGGTTAAATGTGTGTGTTGAACAATAGACGTCTTATAATGAATTTGTGCCGTGAATCAGATTTAACCTCTGTCAGAAAGTTGCATTTATCACCGTAATTCACAGTAATTCTGCAGAAAAATGAATTTCACCAGCTGTGGAATAAGATCAAGGTGTCAATGAGAGAAACATTCATCATAAATATATTTATAACATACAAAAGAAATTGTGATGCTTTACACTGGCACTGAAAAACAGTTGGTGTGGGATTTACTTCATAATGATTTTCGTTCAGAAACTGCTTGTACATTTCAGAAATAATTACAGAGAATCGGCAAGCAATTGAATTAAATGTGAAATTTTGAAAGACTGAGATTGTATCAGATCATTGTGTGTGTGTTAGAGCGAGTGCAGTGCTGTAATGTGATGCTGCTAAAGGACACTGAGCAGCAGAGAGAGCCTCCGGCACGTGACCTTTGACCTCACCTGTGTGTGTCCTTCAGTGCTCTAATACACACACACACATGCCTCAGAATGATCCCAGCCAGTCACCTTCATATTTCAGACTGTACATTTGTTTTGTTTTTCTCCTTTCAGTTGAGTGTTGTTGTTGAGTGTGGTACATTAGAGTTTATATACAGAAACTGTGTTATTTTACGGTCATTGAGATGCTATTATAGTTTTTAATAAGAATTAATAAGAATTACTTTTGATTTTTATGTTCAATTTTCATTTTCATTTTAGTAAACGCTTTAGTAATTTTGTTGTCATTTTGATCATTTCTATGTCGTTTTTATTCATTTTTATTTCAGCTTTTAGTTTATTTTAGTACATCAAGTTGAAAACAAGAAAAGTTGGCTTAGCAACTAGCTGGACCAAAACAAAATCTATTTTATTTCAGTAATTTTGTAAGTAACGAAATGTTTTTATGGTTTTAATTAACTCTAATAACTCTGTAAGGAATATTTTTAAATATGATAAAAATAGGTAGCTGCTAAATAAAAAAATGCAAATGAGCTAATCATGCGTTTCTAACATTGTGAATGTCAAACGCATGTTTTACGGTCGTGTGGCTTTGCTGTCGTCATCTCTAGTACACAAGGGAGTTTCTCCGTACTAGTACATTTTTGAAACATGATTCAGTGCTTCAGATTAAGAAATAAACCTCTCACTGTTTGCTATTTTTGACTGGATCTCGTCTCGTTTTTTTGTTTTTTTTTAGATCTACACTATTTAAAAGATTGTGGTTAAGATTTTTTAATGTTTTGTGAACATTTACTCACCAAGTCTGCATTTATTTGAAAAAAAAAAAAAAAAAAAAACGGTAAATAGTAAAAACAGTAATACTGTGAAATATATACAAGTTCTGAATATATTGTAAGATCTGAATATATAGTAACATTTCATTTATTCCTGTGATCAAAGCTGAATTTTCAGTATCATTATTCCAGTCTTCAGTGTCACATGATCCTTCAGAAATCATTCTAATATTCTGATTTGCTGCTCAAGAAACATTTCTGATTATGATCAATGTTGAAAACAGTTGTGCTGCTTCATATTTTTGTGAAAACTGCAATGCATCTTATTTTGGAGGATTCTTTGATGAACAGAAAGTTCAAAAGAACAAAATTTATTTGAAATAGAAATCTTTTGTAACAATACAGATGTCTTTACTATGGAAGCCTGTTTCCGCCACTGAATAAAAAAATTAAAAAGAAAAGGTTATTGCGACTTTCATCTCACAATTCGAACTATTTTTCTTATAATTGCGTGATACAAACTCGCAATTCTGACTTTTTTTCTCAGAATTCCGTGATATAAACTCGCAATTGTGAGTTAAAAAATCATAATTGTGAGATATAAACTCGCAATTCTAAGAAATAAAGTCAGAGTTGCGTGATAAACTTGCAATTGCGAGACATTAAAGGGATAGTTCACCCAAAAATGCAAATTATGAAATTAATTACTCACCCTCATGTTGTTTCAAACCCGTAAGACCTTCGTTCATCTTCAGAACACAAATTAAGATATTTTTTGATGGAATCTGAGAGCTCTCTTACCCTTCATAGACAGCTATGAAACTGAAATGTTCCCAAGTCCAGAAACGCAGCAAGGAGATCTGTAAAATAATCCATGTGACATCAGGGGTTCAACCGTAATTATACGAAGCTATGAGAATACTTTTTGTGCGCAAAAGAAAAAAAACAAAACTTTATTCAACAATTCGTCTCCTCCGCATCACCCTGGCACCATTTTGGAGAATATCCGCTGGATGTAAACTGTTCTGTGTCAGCTGTGTCACGCCAGATCTGTTTCCTACATTGTTGTGATTTGATCTGAATGGAAACAGCATATCCGTGTGACGCAGCTGACACAGAACAGCATACGAACGTTTGCGTCCAGCGGATATTCTCCAAAATGGCACTGGGGTGATGAATAAGTTGAATAATGTTGAATAAAGTCGTTTTTTTTTTCTTTTGCACACAAAAAGTATTTTCGTAGCTTCGTAAAATTACGTCTGAACCCCTGATGTCACATGGATTATTTTACAGATCTCCTTGTTACGTTTCTGGACTTGGGAACATTTCAGTTGTGTTGCTGTCTATAGGAGGGTCAGAGAGCTCTCAGATTCCATCAAAAATATCTTAATTTGTGTTCTGAAGATGAACGGAGGTCTTACGGGTTTGAAACGACATGAGGGTGAGTAATTAATGACAGAATTTTCATTTTTGGGTGAACTAACCCTTTAAGTTGCAATTGCGAGTTATAAAGTCAGAATTGCGAGATATAAAGTCAGAATTGTGAGATAAAAACTCGCAATTCTGACTTTTTTTCTCGCAATTGTGAGTGTATATCTTTTTTTCTCACAATTTTGACTTTTTCTCAGAATTGCGAGTTTATATCTCACAATTCTGACTTCATAACTCGCAATTGAGTGTTATAAAGTCAGAATTGCGAGTTTATATCTCGCAGTTCTGACTTTATTTCTCAGAATTGTGAATTGTATTTCACAATTATGACTTTTTAACTCGCAATTGCGTGTTTATATCACGCAATTCTGAAAAAAAAAGTCACAATTGAGAGTTTGAGTCACGCAATTATGAGAAAAAAGTCAGAATTGTGAGACAAAAAGTCGCAATTACCTTTTTTATTTTTTATTCAGTGGCGGAAACGAGCTTCCTTACTTTACAGTGCATCTTTGCTGAATAAAAGTCTTATTTTCTTCTTTAAAAACTTATATAATATAATAAAAAATATATATAATTTCATCTTGATCTGAATTGACTTTTTATCCCCATGTAATCAATTACTGATGGATAAAATATTTTATTTATTTATTTAAACTGAATATTGTATTTCATGTTTAAATGCATCGTATGAAGTAAATAAAGTATATCGGCCATATGGTGTTGTAAATCTGTTGTAATCTGTGTGCAGATAAGGTGGATGATGATCTGGAGCTGTCTGTGGTGTGTCACCGTCCCGAGGGTTTGGAGAAGCTGGAGGCTCAGACAAACTTCAGCAAGAAAGAGCTGCAAGTGCTCTACAGAGGCTTTAAAAACGTATGCACACTCACACACCTGTAGACGTGTTTTCCTGATGGTCCGTCTGCTCATCTGTCAAAACCTAACGTGTGTGTTTTTCTGCTTGTTTGTCAGGAGTGTCCCAGCGGTGTGGTCAACGAGGAGACGTTCAAACAGATCTACTCGCAGTTCTTTCCTCACGGCGGTCAGTGTGTGTTTGCAGCTGATCTGTCTGTCTCTGTGTCTCAGTCAAATCACTTGGTTATATAGTTACAAAGTGTTCATCATTAGTTAAATTTACATTACTACTTTACTACTACAGTGATTGTGAGCAGGATCTGACTTCTTCAAAGGCTCATAAAATGACCAAATTGTGTTTTGCTTCAAAACTACAGATATCAGCAGGTTCTGTGAGGATTAAGTTTAGGATATCAGTGTTACTTTATATAATATTATAGTTTTTGTTAATATTTTGAATTTGATTTTAATTATACACTGAACAAAATTATAAACGCAACACTTGTTTTTGCCCTAATTTTTCATGAGCTGAACTCAAAGATCTAAGACTTTTTCTATGTACACAAAAGGCCTATTTCTCTCAAATATTGTTCACAAATCTGTCTAAATCTGTGTTAGTGAGCACTTCTCCTTTGCCGAGATAATCCATCCACCACAAAACCAGTCAGTATCTGGTGTGACCACCATTTGCCTCACGCAGTGCAACACATCTCCTTTGCATAGAGTTGATCGGGTTGTTGATTGTGGCCTGTGGAATGTTGGTCCACTCCTCTTCAATGGCTGTGCGAAGTTGCTGGATATTGGCAGGATTTTTTTTGTCATTTTTATTATTTTTTAAGATGTCTACTGTATATATTTTTAAGTTACTTAGTTTGTTCTTTTAGTTTTATTTTAGTACTTAAATTAAATGAAAATGAGTAATTCTGTCTTTGCAACTAGCTAAACGTTTTTTGTATCTTAGTTTACTTCAGTTAATGTTTGTTTAACGTTTATTTATTTTAATATTTTGTTTTATTGATTAATTGTTGAAATTAACATTAAGCGTAATAAAGGCTTTAGAAGTATTGTGATTGTCAGAAGTATTATATAGTTTTAATTAAGTTAAGGTTTTTGTATATTTAGTTTCAGTTATTTTAGTACTTCAATTTAAACTAAACAAAACGTGAAATATTGACTTCACAACTAGCTGAATTAAATTACGTTTATTTTTAATATTTTATTTTACTTCAGTTAATGTTTATATTATTTATATGTTAATATTTTATTTGAAGTAATTCCATTTTTTTGTGTGCGTGTTTTTAGTTTTACTTTACAATAAGGTCCCATTAGTGAAGGTTAGTTAACGTTAGTTACTTACTGTACAATCATCAATATATTTTTTGAACTATTTAATAATCATCAATATATTTGTTGTACTCTCTCTCTCTATATATACATATATATATATATATATTATAAATAGATACATCTTATGATTAATGTGAAATGTTGACTTAACTAAGATTAATAAATGCTTTTGAAGGATTGTTTATTGTTAGTTCATGTTAACTAATGCAGTTGACTAATGTTAACAAATGAACCCTTGTTGTAAAGTGTTAGGGTTTTACATTAACAGTAATTCCCCTCCTATAGTCCTTAGCAAATATGAAAACATTTGAGATGTGATTTATACATGTTTTCTCTGCAGACGCCAGCACATACGCGCATTACCTGTTCAACGCCTTCGACTCTTCCCACAATGAATCCATCAAATTCGAGGTGCCTTTTCTCTTTATTTATCCATTGGTCTTCACCTTCTCTGTTTCTTCTGTTTTTATTTTTATTTGTGTGTCAGCAGGGCTTTATGATTGTCTCTGCAATGATAAATCACTTTTTTATTGTTTTTCTCTCTCTATCAGGACTTTGTAATGGCTCTGTCCATCTTGTTGAGAGGAACAACAACAGAGAAGTTACAGTGGACCTTCAACCTGTACGACATTAACAGAGACGGTTACATTAATAAAGAGGTGTGTGTGTGTGTGTGTGTGTGTGTGTCAGTCATCACTCTTCATCTCCAATAATATGTCTTAATAAGATGATGAAATGAATTGAAATGTTTAATTTGATGATCAAAATGTATAATGCAATGCATTTTACTGTTCCAGGAGATGACTGATATAGTGAAAGCCATATATGACATGATGGGCCGCTTCACGTATCCCGCTCTGAGGACAGACACTCCCAAACAGCATGTGGATGCTTTCTTTCAGGTCAGTTTGTGATTGTACATCTTGAATATTTGTCTGCACAACAAGATGATGATGTTGTTTTCGTCACATTATAAATCACTTCCATGCAGAAAATGGACAAGAACAGAGATGGAGTCGTCACTCTTGATGAGTTTATTCTCTCCTGTCAAGAGGTACAGTACCTTTTCATGTTCAGAATGGCATACTATGCATACTATTTTTTCCAGTATGTATACAGTGCACAGAGTGCACATTTAGTATGCATGGAAAACCAAATGATCTAATACATTTAAAAAAAGTGCAGTATAGAAGCATTCCATTCATACTTTTTTTGCAGTATGTAAACTGTATGCCAAGTTAGGCAATGACTGACAACATTTGCAAAAATGTGCCGTTTCCATACATACTTTACACTGTATATATACTGCAAAAATAGTATCCAAAGTATGCTTGTATACAGCACATTTTTGCAAATGTAGTAGATTTTCTGGTTATTCCATACATAAAAAATTGTGCATTGTACACATACTGCAAAGCCAGTATATATATTTAGTATGCATGGATTTTGAGCTGATTATTAAGAGGTGAAAACTATTTTAATATATTTTAATATGCTAAATATATAAAAGCATTTATTTCTAAGGTTATAATTGAATTGAATTGTAATTATCTGTGAATTAAACGTGAGTGAGTTTGTGACGATGCAACATATTTGAAACATTTCTCATTGCATACTGTTTCACATACTATTTCTTTAAAAAAGTAAACCGTATATCCTGTGCAGTATGCAGTAGACTACAGTAGTATTCCCTTCCAGTCGTAGTCTGGTTAAATAAGCAGTCCTCTAGTGTTAGAGAGTGTGTACTGCAGTATTGATAAAATATCAATAAAATCAATCCTGCCCACTGACAGCCAGGCAAATATATACATTTATTTGCTTGTTTTATTAAAAAAAGTAAGTAATAAATAATATTACCATCCAGGCATGGTTATTATTAAAAAAAAATTGTTGAATATGTCACTACATTAACTTTTTGTTAATGAATGATTTAGTTGTAGGTTTTTCTCATCAGAGATAAACCTTTTATAATTGTTTTTTATTTGTTGTTTATATACAGTCTATTCATTTATTCGTTTAATTTTTCTATTTTTCACTTGTTCGACATATTGACATGGTGCTAAATGATAAACAAACAAATTAATTAAAAAACAAATTTTTCATTTTTTTTTTTTTGCCGAATATGTCACTTCATTAACTTTTTGTTAATAAATGAAGCTCTTCCGTTATGGCTCTTATTACATACAGTCTAATATCTAAAAAAGCATCTTTTGATGGACTGTGATGGTTTTAATGTTATTTTAGTGTCGTTGATATGCTATCATAGTTTTTGTTCATATTTTGAATTAGATTATTTTTATATTTTCTGTTGTCACTTTTATTTTATAGTAATTCTCTTGTTTTTTATCACTTTTTTTTTTAAACTAATCATTTTTTAAAAGTTATTTTTATGGGCTTTTATTGAGAGAGACGACAGGAAAGCACTGGGAGGAGAGAGGATCAGCAAAGGACCTTGAGACGGGAATTGAACTCGGGTCGCCGTGAGCGCAGTTGAGCTATCTGTCGACGCACTAACCACGAGTTCGTTAACTTTCAACAAAACCGAGTTAGTTAGCTTTCAACTAAATCAAAATGTGAAATGTTGCATTTGCAACTAGCTAAAAACAAAATAAGTTTAAATTTATTTATATTCTATTTCAGTTAAGGTTTTTAATTTCAAATAACAAACTTTTCTTCTTTTTTAATATATAGATTTAATTTTAGTTAAGTGTCATAACCCTGGTTTAACTACTAGGATTTTATTTTTTTTATGTAATGTAGTGAGGCCAGATTTAGTTTTAGATTTCTGTTATCAGTGATAAACCTTTTATAATTTTTTATTTGTTGTTTATAGACTTTTTCTATTTTTCACTTGCTTGCATGGCGCTGAATTCTAAACAAACTAATTTAGTTTCCTTCACTTACATTTTTTTTTTACATTTTTAATATTTCCAAAAGAACTGCTTTTTTATTATTTCATATTTTGCTTCCACTTTACTTTATTTTCTTTTTGTGCCACACAGCACCAGCAGTTGAAAAAAAATCTAACTCTGTGAACTGTGATTGGTCATTCATCAGCTGCTCCTTGTCCTATTGGGTGGTTATTTTTACTAAAACACACTGATAGTCTAAAGACAGACTTGCTCTTTTCATCTGTGTTCTTTCCTCTCTGTCTCTTCCTGCTTTCTTTAGCAGTCTCTCATTGAACTTCTCTTTCTTCTATTCGCATTTCTTCTCTTCAGGATGAAAACATCATGAGATCATTGCAGCTCTTTGAGAACGTGATATAGAGCTACAGGAAGAAAGAAACCAATGAACTGTTGAATCTGATCAAAAAAAGGGGGAATAACTTTTACCCCAATCACCATGGTTACAGTTTGCCATCACCTTGTTACCATGGCAGTATGCCGACTGTATGATTTACATCCCGGGAAACCTGCGTGTCCTTTAAACCCCGGTGTTTGACCTTGTTCTGTTACAGATGTGAGATTTATATGTCTATAACCAAAAAAGGTCCTAGTTAAAAGAGCATGTCAGTTATTGTTGTCAAAGGTCCAACGGGTTTCCAAGAGGTCCTGTAGAAGCCAGTTGAACTCTTTCCATGGGACTGAATTTACTGTGAGGGATTTGACATGTGATGCATTTTAAGCTATTTATGGTGGTTTTTTTTTGTTATTTTTAACCTAATTAAAACAACTCAACAGCAGTTTGATTGAGATGAATTGAAATGCACAATGAAAAAACATGAATTTTGAAAGTTGTTTGTTTTTGCAAATGAACTCTTCATATTTCATATATATATATATAGATACATATATATATATTATATATGACACACATGTGAACAAATACTTTTGTGCCAGGAAACATAAGCCATCATGTTTAAAAGTGTGTTGAAAGTAGAAACCTGTGTTTATCACAATCACAAACAGTCCTGGCAGACCCGAATATGCTCTGATAACCATAGTAATGCTGTTTTTATTATTTTTCTGCTCATTTCTGATCATGTTATGATGTGTTTTTGAACAATCACTGTGCCGGTCAAGCTTGATGAGTTTAATATATATGATATTTAAATTATTACACACAATGTATATTTTATACTCTGCAAAGTGGGCTTGAATAATCAAATACGGAGCGGCAGTGTCTCTGAGAGTTCTATAAAAACTGTGTATTGTATAAAGTACAGGGTCGACTGAGGGACGATTATGTTTCCATTATGACGGAGAGACAGACGGTCAATCAGACAGACAGATGGAGGAGACGGGAAGCTTAAATATCCTCTTGTTGGAATGTTGTATAAACTATTTAACAATAAAATGTTCAATGCATAATGCTGATTGTTCAGTGTTATACTGTATTTACACACCATTGCTTTTTCCAGTTGAAAGTACGTCAACAATGACAAACATTAGTCGGTAATGCATCGCCACCATAAGAGCACAAAATAATTACGATAAGTACAATATTTTGTAGACTTTCTCACAGACATCAATTAAACAGTTCATATATACAATTCTGTGATTCAGGTTGATTGACAGTTAGTTTCTGTGAATGTTTCACCCTATTTTTCCAAGGCAGCATCTACATGGGATGGTGTTTGGAAAGTTTTTGTGTCCATAACAAACTCACAGATGTCATTACAGTTCACTATTCCCACAAAAAGTGCTTAGATGAAGAAAAAAAAAACTGTTCAAAAAGCCTGATTCATTTTCAGATATGACGGTTTTAGTCTTTCCATTCTGAAAGTGCAGGACAGTTTGAAGCTACACTGTCCTGATTCCAGCATCATGGCAGAGATTTTAAGCCAGTGCCGTGGTTGTTGGGACCATTTTACCCGGTCTCTCCTGGACCCAAGGTTGGAGGCTCTGGAGGGCGTAGAGGGAGGAGTTATGCACACATAGAGGATCCGACGACACTGATTCGCTCATGGACTTCTGGAGGGCGTCGGCCTGAAGCTGAAGCAGCATCCGATTGGCTTGCTGACGTCCCGCCTCTCTTTCCTCAGCTGTTTGCCTTCTGGAGATTTTGAAGTAAGATTATAGTTAGCAAAATGTAGAAATCCAAAACATTTGACCCTTTGATAAAATTCATATAATAATTAAAGAAATTGTGGATTTTAAATCAAATTATGATCATAATAGACCCTATTAACAGACTGTGATGGGTTTCCACAGTTATCTAATTTCATTTTTAAATGTACATTTATAACATTCTCTCCTATGTCCAACATAATCAATCTAATTTTTCCCACTTTTTTGGAAAGTCATAGAAACGCTATGGTGGATTTTTCTTTTGCTATTGGAGAAAACTAGAACGCAAAAAAAAAATATTTGTTAGTTTCCGTTCACCACTATAGAAATTTAGCAAACTCTGACTATACTTCCACTTCTGAAAACAACAGGAATGTGAAAAGGTCCGTATTTAAATTACATTCATTTATTCAAATTAAATATTTTCATTATGATTAAATAGTTATGTAAAATGATTTGCTTAAAATTTAAACAAAATTTTAAAACGTGTAATACCTTGAATATAAACACGTCTAAATGTTTGCAGTTACATTTTCCAGCTTCAACAACTTGTGTTAAAAAAAACACGTTAATGAAATAATACGCATCTTGTACTGTTTTGAAGTCCTTCAGTCATGTGTGTGATGTTCGGGTGAACAGATCTGGGTCAAACCGGTCTCACCTCCACTTGGTCCGTCGGTTCTGGAACCAGGTCTTGACCTGCGCGTCGGTCATCTTTAGGCTCTTGGCGAGAGTCGCGCGCTCCGCGGACGCCAGATACTTCTGCCGGTGGAAGCGTTTCTCCAGCTCACAGATCTGCACGCGCGAGAACGACGTGCGGGGCTTTTTCCGTTTGGGGGGAGTTCGGTTCTGATACGGGTGACCGATCCGCCGGGTCACGGTGAACGGAATGAGAGCTGCGAAACACAGGGACACGGGTCATTTATGATGCTCTGTTCCTTTAAATTTTCTAAAAACAAATATATTTTTCGGCTCATTCTATAATTATTGTACTAAATTAGCCTAAATAGCTTATAATTAGAGTTTGAAACGAAATTCTCTTGTTGAATTTATTGGCTATTTTTTTTATTTGCTTCATATACATATACAACCTAGTTCAAATGTATCAAAACCTATTGTGAAAGTTGTTTTGTGTGCATCTTTAATGTATTTTGTAGGTAGCAATTTTTTCCCTTCCCAAAACAGCTGTTTGTCCACATGAACGACGTCTCTGTCAAGGAGGTCAACGTGTGCAATGACAAAAATAAATCGGATTTGAGGTCATTTGAGAGAACATTTATTAGGCTAATTTTAAGATTCATGCAGATTTATTTGACTAATGTGAATCACTAAAACGGTCGCCTATGTTTGAAACAAAATACTTTATTTATTATTATTTTTAAATAATTTTCACGCTTATTAAACGATTAAATCAATATTTTTACCCAAGGGAACACGAACAGTAAACGACGCATTAATTTCCGAAGTGAGAGTTTTGAATGAGCATTTCCTTTATTATTATTATTATTATTATTATTATTATTATTATTATATTCCTTTTAGATTTTTTTAAATTTTCATACAATTTGGGTCCAGAAACAAGCACGTTTTTCTTAAAACTGATTTTAAACCGTTGTGCTGAACTCAAATAAATTCCACTTACATGTTGTAAATAGGCTACTATAACGCTAAAAGACATGTTTAAAGACATAGTTTAAATATAGCCTACTTTTGGATTAACATTAAACACATTACAGCAACTAACCAAATAGTTTGTTTAGTTACTTTGACTATTTTATAACCAAAATGTTTTGCATGTGTGCGTTTTGTGAATTCATCTGTTTTATAGCATATAGCCTAAATATAGACTAGCCAACTAATTTAAATTGATATAATTATCGGTATCATCACCGTTACTTTTTAATTTATTGTAAGCTATACTAGTTGTTTATAATTAATATCATTACAAAAACTGTATTCAGAGTCGTGTAAAGTTTTTCAGGGTGGTATCATTGTGATAAGCTTGTTGTAAGTTCAACATATTTATTTATTTTATTTTATTATTATTATATTTTTTTTTTTTTTGGAGATGAAAGCTTTAAAAAAAAAAAAAAATTCTGAAGGCAACTGCGCAGGTCCAGCAGCCAGATATATTTGCATCATTTGAACAAACTCCAGCATCCTCAGAGATGTTTGTCTTTTACCTGGCAGTCTGTCTTTAGGGAACCTGCGGTTATTGTCCATCCAGGGGAAACACAGCGCCGGTGCGGCGCTCACCATGGCCGGCGGCACCGCGGCAGCGAGAGGTCTGTGCGCCGGGACCCGAATCACTCCACTGGGCACCAGAGTGCCGCTCACCCCGTACACCCGCACGGAGTCCTCCAGCGCGCCCGTGACTCCGGACAGAGAGACGGGTAAGGAGACATGAGGCGCGACGCTCGCCCTGGATGGGCTTCCCAAGCGGCTGTTATCCACAGTGTTTCCGACCCTGCTCTCCTGGTCCAAAGAGCCCAGAATCTGGTCGATACCAAATCGTATGGGTTCCTGATTTGATTTCGATGGCGGTTTCGTCTCCGCGCGCTCCATGACTCCTCGTTGCGCAGCAGATTGTGAAGGATTAAAACAAACGAAATCACGTTAACTGCGGCAAAAATAGATTTAATTTAGTTTTATTCGTGTCCATGGTCTCGGATGACGGTCCTCGTTTCTCTAATTCCTTGTTTGAACTCTGACAGGTCTCGCCACCTCTGCGCCGCGCGTCAAACTGTCGAGTTTCCGCTCCGCGGCTCCTGCCAAACTCATCAGCTCAAGGTTTCATTGGTCGACTGAACCGAACCGTCATTATCTCTGTCTATTGGTTGACATTTAGGAACGGGAGAAAAAAAACTGCGAACTAGAGCCTCACCATGTTATTCAGTAATGTCATCACACCAATTTCTGAAATGCGCATTTATTGGGGCTGAAAGATGCTGCTGCTAATTTATTTACAGACGTCTCTCATTATGTTGAATTGCATTAGCACCGTTTTACGCACAAACTTTGAATTTACTTTGTAATGTTGCACGCAAAATGAATCAAGATTTGTAGATTATATCCAGTAGGAAATATCTGTCAGTGGATTCAATGCAAAAGGATAGTGTTAAATTAATTCAGTTTTGTCACTATAATACAATTCTTTCATATACACATGCACATACATACATACAGGCAATTCTAATTATATATAATGTTTGCACATATTCAAAACAATGAGTATATTCTGTATTAGAAAACTTAATACTGCAATCTGTGTTTTTCTACTAAATGGATTGACTGAGATAAACGTGAATGATTCATTGCGTTATCGATCGTTCGGCAGAAATCGGAGACTGTCGGTGTTCGTCATCACTAAATACAGTCCCGCTGCTCAGATGTACAGCATTGATTTGTGCCGTGGCCTTGATGAATGCTCAAACCCCACATGCCAAATGCTCTCCATCCGCGTAATTTCATTCAGTAAAACTATCCCGAAACAGACCAATTAGATTTTATTACATAAATGTCACCCAAACAATATCCATCAAATATGAGAAGTTCTGTGCCGGACCGTGGCGCGCGCAAAGCCTTTTAAATTGACGGCCAAATTCGTGTCCTCACACCGGGAAATGGA